TTCCAAAATTCAAAAATGATGTTTATTTCAAAGGGTATGTCGCATAATGCAATAATTTAGGTGAACAATACAGTTTGTAACATGTCCTAGATTTTTATAGACCCGTATTTAAAAACGAGAAATCTCACCTGCAAAAGGATTATTCTGGGTATCTGGATTTTTCATATGACATGTATGATAAAAAATGGATATTATAGATTCTATGAAAAATTGACTCAAATGATTAAGAATTTTAAAAAAATAAAAAGATGCATCTTTTTATATATTATAAAATTGAGAATGGAAATGGGGAATGTGTCAAAGAGACAACAACCCGACCATAGAACAGACAACAGCAGAAGGTCACCAACAGGTCTTCAATGCAGCGAGAAATTCCCGCACCCGGAGGCGTCCTCAGCTGGCCCCTAAACAAATATATATACTAGTTCAGTGATAATGAACGCCATACTAAACTCCAAATTGTACACAAGAAACTAAAATTAAAAATATTACAAGACTAACAAAGGCTAGAGGCTCCTGACTTGGGACAGGCGCAAAAATGCGGCGGGGTTAAACATGTTTATGAGATCTCAACCCTCCCCTATACCTCTAGCCAATGTAGAAAAGTAAACGCATAACAATACGCACATTAAAATTCAGTTCAAGAGAAGTCCGAGTCTGATGTCAGAAGATGTAACCAAAGAAAATAAACAAAATGACAATAAAACATAAATAACAACAGACTACTAGCAGTTAACTGACATGCCAGCTCCAGACTTCAATTAAACTGATTGAAAGATTATGTCTTCATCATATGAATATCAGGCACAATCCTTCCCGTTAGGGGTTTAGTATCATACCATCATAACATATATGAGAAGAACATAACCCGTGTCATGCCAACAACTGGTTTTTAAATAATTGTGTTTAGTGCCGATGCAAAGACCCTATAAGTGAATCAATATTAACGCCAAAATATGCAATCTTTAATGACCTGACAACAGTATCGTAACTATATCCCTTCTTAATAAGTCTATTTAAAGGTTTTGTTAGCTTCAGAGGTGAATACTGACATTTTTGTGCTTTATAAAGAATATTTCCATAAAAAATTGGATGTGAAATACCTGAACGTATAAGAAGTCTGCATGTTGAGCTATATTTACGAATGATGTCCTTATACCGATGATAAAATTTAGTAAATGTTTTGACTAGTTTGTGATATCGAAAACCCTGATGTAATAATTTTTCAGTAATACATATATTTCTCTCGTTAAAATCTAAAACATTGTTACATACACGAGCGAATCGTACAAGTTGAGATATATAAACACCGTAAGATGGTGACAAGGGAACGTCACCATCTAAAAATGGATAATTAACGATAGGAAATGAAAAATCATCTCTTTTATCATATATTTTAGTATTAAGCTTTCCACTAATGATATAGATATCAAGATCGAGGAAAGGGCAGTGGTCATTGTTAGTATTAGCTTTATTTAAAGTAAGTTCAACAGGATAAATTTCTTTAGTATACATACTGAAGTCGTCATTATTGAGAGCCAAAATATCATCCAAATATCTAAAAGTATTATTAAATTTGTGTATCAGATGTTGTTTTGATGGGTCTTTGCTGATTTTTGTCATAAATTGTAACTCATAGCAATACAAAAAAAGGTCCGCAATAAGTGGTGTACAGTTAGTCCCCATTGGAATTCCGATAACCTGACGATATACGGAATCTCCAAAGCGAACAAAAATGTTATCTAGTAAAAATTCAAGGGCATATATAGTATCAAAGCATGTCCAATTGACATAGTTTTTTTGTTTATTGCTACTAAAAAATGACCTAAAAGAGTTTGAACATATATATTCACATTCTGACTTTTTAAATGCCCATTTAATTAGGTGTGTGAATTTTTTCTTAATGAGAATGTGAGGCAATGTGGTATATAGGGTAGAAAAATCAAAACTTTGAACAGATTCAAAATCACCAATATATGCATGTAATTTGTCAAGTACTTCCAACGAGTTCTTGACACTCCAAAAGTAATTAATTCCACTATTTTCGAAGGCCTTATTTGAACAATTTATTATCAGGTTTTTGATTGTACCAAGTGTACTTGTAAGAAGAATAGACAATTTAGTAGTGGAACAATGGCTTGAAGACGAAATAAATCTATATTTGTAAGGTGTTTTGTGTAGCTTCGGAAGCCAATACATAGTTGGGACTTTCATTGTATTTGGTTCTGCTTGTAAAGCGGTAGCTAAAAGTTTATGTTTGTTACAGATGTCGTTTTCTGAAAATGGAGTCAGTTGGAATGTTGGTGAATTGGTGATTTCTTTTTTTAGAACCTCAATGTAAAATTTACGTCAAACAATAATAATATTATTAGCAGCTTTATCGGCCGGGACAAAAACAAATTCCTTGGCTAGTTCTTTTAGTTTATGTTTGGTACGAGAAATAGGTTTATTGTGGTTATTGTTAAGAGTAAAATGTTCTTTAAAATGTTGAATACGTATATCAACTATGTTCATTACTGAATTAAAAAAAGAGTCCAAAGATTTTTTGTCAGCTTTTTCCCGTTTTGTCCATTTCAAACAGTAAGTATGGAGTGAGTCGTGGATGATATTACGACACTCATTCCAATTAATAATTGACGGGGGACGATATTTAGGTCCTTTACTGAGGAATGATTTTAACTCTCGGTCTTGAACGATGTTAAGATCTCCTGTTATAACATGGGAAATGGGTCCATAAAAGTATTCGGAATTACTGCAATTATATGAAGTAGGTGTATTTTCACTGATATTAACATCTTTACACAATTGACTATAATTAAACACAAATTTCCGGGTAGATTTCTTGTAAATATAACAAATAAGAGGGAGCTCAGTATTATCAAAATATCCCGGAATTTGTTCTTTAACAGAATGGTCGTTAAAAATACCGGCAATATTTACAAAATCAAAACCTTTATTAACATACTTTATTTTAATAAACTGTTTTTTATGATCTTCAGGGCGATCAATTTTGGGAAACAGTTTAGAATAACAATATGCCATTATAATTTGAACGATTTCATACTTAGGACTGCTATATGAAATTGTGTTGCAATCCTCTAAAATTTTATTTAACTTATTAACCGGTAATGAACAGAGCTTTGTTAACAGATAATGTCTGTCGTTGTTTTTTTAAATAGAAATTAGGTCCGAAATATTGGTATAATTGGTCCGAAATTTTCTTTGATTGCGATTTTTTCTACGACCATGAGAACGGTTTTTACGAACAGTTTTAGAAACTATACCCAATTTTGTTAACAGAATCGGTTCTTGATATATTACCAATTCCCATGATATTATCATTAAGACCAAGAGGGTAGACTGTCTGTAATTTTTTAATCCAATTTAATTCAATTATTTTCCGGGATCGTACAAACTTTGAATGAGATTCACCAGGCTGCTTATTTACTACTTCTAAAGGTTGAACTGCTAAATATTTAATAGGATGATTGTGCTTCTTAAGGTGTTGATAAATGATACTTTTGAATTTATTGGGTCTTTTAAAACGATACAGATGTTCTTGAGTGCGTTTAGATAAATATCGTCCAGTTTCACCTACGTACTGAATACCGCATCCCGGTTTGTTTCAAGTGAGTAAATAAATAATACTGTTTGTTTTTCAAGTTATATCAGTTTCAAAATTTAAAGAAAATGTGCGACCATTAAACGTGGACCTTACCGTATTGTTGGTGGAAAGACGGGGACATGTAAGTCATTTTTTGGCATGACACTTATCGATAGAAGGGTAACCACGATTTTTATTGTTAAAAATGTTAGCGATGGTAGTATTTTTAGATAAGCGATTTTGAAGATTGAGACGTGTAGATACCCTTTGAACGAGTTTAGTATTTAATATTTTTCCATTTCTAAGCTTCATATTTGTTTTTTGTTTGTGAATTATATTAGAAAGGAGCAAAGACTGGCGTCCAGAATATGAACCAGCATACAATGAATTAAATTATTTAAAAATGATAAATCTGTTCGGCTAAAGATGTCAAACGCTATCCGTATTAATTACCCGAAAAAGAAAGGGTATATCAGGGTAGCGACTGACGTCTGACTAAGTAGTAGAATGGGGCTGAATATTGTTGGATTTGCTTTTATTAAATATTTAATGCATTGTCTGTTTAATCAAGAACTGTTAGTGAACTCACAAAACCATACCCCCACCCTGTAATACTTTTACTATATTAAAGTATTTCAATTCGATAATGTCCCTTTAACATGTTGAACCGGGATCAGATTCCTTTATACATATCCTCAGTTATTGTCCTACAACTGTGTAACGTTTTCATCAATAATCGTCTAGCCGTTTAGAGGAGTTGCACTTATAAGGCACATAGGCAGACGAACAGATAATGTGATTCCTACATACCCCCAACCCCCGAAAAAAAACCTTATTTGTGACGGTGTAGAAAGACCGATCGGTTATGAGAGTAAGATCAATTGATTGTGGTTTGCTTTATGTCAAGTGCAGGGTAAATGATTCATCCATATTCAGCACGAAAACAAATTAACAATTAATGCAATATACACTAGTCGTCAGATTCCGACCAGACGTGGCAGTGTATCTATCACGTATATAAAAATGCGAAGTTTTGTGAAAACTTTACATAGGTTATGCATGTGTTATTTAAGAAATTACAAGTTACACGGTCAAGGTTGAATAACAAACACACATCGTCTTAAGATTACAAACGAAAACATGTAAAATTGTTTCAGTAACGTGGCATAGATCTTTATCAGGGTGAAATTACCGTATGCTTTCCTTTAACTACTTTTCATCTAGGGATCACATTAATCTGTTATGAAGGTCATAGTATAATGACATTGTAAACACAGTAGATAAGATACAGTTATTGTCTTGCCGTCTTATGTACTAATTAAATCGATCTTTTATACATATCTGTGCTTGAAACTACTACGAGATCCACATTGTTTTATCAAAATTAAATGCTTACCTTTAATAAGTTTTTTTGTATCATTTTCAGCTTTCACCAGATAGTCCAAACCAAGTTTAGAACTGACCACTGCCTTAATACTGTCAACAACTTCTAGAAGTAATAAAGCATCGGCGAGCTGTGTCACACGACCACTACTTAAAGTGTCAACACAATCTAATAACACGGATAAACCCTCAGCTTCTAGAAATCCACGGGTCCAGATTTTATCATTTTGTTTAATTTTCTTTTTCAATAATGTAACCGTTTTAATTGTTGGAACGTGCATCATTTTCACACAAATTTCTGGTTCACAGTGTTCAAAGTCAGGATTTGACAAAGCATCACTTATTCTGTCTTTCATCTTGAATTTCTTTTTTGATTTTGTATTTTGGTCTTCTGACTTAATGTCATCTTCAAAACTATGATCTGTTTCTTCTTTATTCATTTTCTTTTTATCTATTTCATCTGAATTGTGCAGTTCCACTGTAATTTCTGTATCTTTCGTGTCGTCAATTAACTCGCGCGCTTCGTTTCTCGGACTATCAATATCATCTGCATCATTTTTAACATGTTTTGTCTTATTTCTTTTTTTCTTCCCTCTATGTGATAACCTATACACAGTGTTTCGCAGTGTCCTGAACAGGGTAGCCATGTCTGTTTGTTGTCGTCTGCAATTATCCAACCGTACAGCAAATAAATAACATTCAATATAACTTAAATTTGTTTACTTTCAAATCAGATGATAATATTGAAATCACATACAACCAGGAAATTTAGAACTTGCATGACAACATTCTAATATTGAACTCTCATATATTTAGATGCATAACTTAAATAACTTTAATTTACCTGTTTAAGACTAGAAAACTATACAAGTCCTATCATTTCCGGAGTTAAAGGGTCAAATATTTTAACAGTTCAGACAATATTGAATGGTGAAATACTGTTTTGTTTATTAGATGCTCGAGGCGGATCCTATTTACATGTAGGCATTTCATTACATAAATATTAATCACAATTAGTACGTCTGTCTAGTACTTCGTTGACGAGGTTAGTAATTTCCTCTGAGAGAAATGAAGAAAAATAACGTACCTGTAAAATTTTGCCTTTTTCAACTAATAAAGATACCTTTCTTTTTTAAGTTAAATAAAAGTCACCTAGACAAATACACTGCTATAGCAAGTAAAATATTCATTGAGATTATTATCTAAAAAATATACCTAGCAATTTAAAATACATGTACATTTTTTAAAGTTCGTTTTTACACTAGGTACGTGCGTATACGAGTTATGTAAGATGCACAACCGTGGGTGTATATTTATTCAAGTGAATTATTGGGGATGGTTAGCATTTCTATTGATTTTACAACTCTGTCGCGTATAGGAGGGTTATTATATTATAAAACCGGTCTACAATCTTGAACTGTTTACCATATATGATAAAGGAGCATTAATATCTAACGACTTCAAAACCAGTTGAATTGCAAGTTTTGTCTAATGTTAGGGTATAGATAATGTATACTAATATAAGTATATATACACAGTAAATGTTCACATGAATACACAATAGTGTAAATAATGATCTAAACACAAAAATTATTGGTTATATTTGAAACTTTCTATTCGTGACCCATGTTTACTATAAGCAATCACAACTTTTGAAAATGGGGATAAGTCCATACTCCATGGTTTCAAAAGAAGTTATAGATATTAGTACGAAATTTCTCTAGTATTTCCTTGGCGGAGCACGTTTTCCAGCCAAAAACTATAATAGAGTCTGTAGTGTCTTATAATTGTACTTTGAATGAATAAATGATTAAATGGATGGCTATCGACTTTCTTTCAGATAAATTGTTTATTTGTGGTTTGCTTTACGTCCAGTGGCAAATGTTACATCCATATTCATGAGGAGAGCAATTCAACAATAAGTCTATTAGGTATGTCCTGCAAAATGTAGGACAGGAAATTCGGACTGCAATGCAGTGGAAAACTGGTGTATGTCATATATAGAAAACGGAATTGGGCTTTCCAACAGGTCACCATCAGTCCCAACAAAAAGTTGTTGCAAGGGTTTTTCGACGTTTAAATAGCATGGCACTCTCCTAACACAAGACATCGAATTTAACCTCCCTAGAAGAGTATAAACTATATCCCCCTTTTTCGAGTTCAATGTCAGCGGTAATGAATAGTTAAGTTAATATACATGTAGTAAGTAAGCAATTGGGTGGACTATTAACCAATGTTTCAATAAATATAATATATGTGTAAGTATGTGTGACATCATTTACCTCGGACTGAATTATATAGTTCCTTTCTACCTAAGAATCTCGTTGAATGACACAGGATATCTGTATTTTAAAATATTTTAAAAGATTTAAAAAAGCAAAGATCCTTGTAAGAATCAACATTATATCAAACTTAATAAAACTTCACCGACCTGTTAGATTCGTCCATGTAACTCCTCTAAATAAAGAAAATGTATACAAGTACCTTTGTGTGATTACATGTCATTCACTCACTGCCTCCAATGTGGAAAACAAAATAATGATTTCCCGTGGTTATGTTAGAGAATAAACTTGTCTATAGATTTGAATTTATTCTTTTTATAAAGATTTGTTTTTATCTATCCTCGAATGGTACAGTGCTGGACTGTGATGTGAAAAGTAATACAGAAATAAATATGCCAATCTATTTATTATTAAACTCAAGAAATTATGGAAGAAATGAGGCATCAAGTAAAGAAGAAAAGACAACACCAGGGTCAAAAGAAAAAGACGAAAATACAAACAACCGTACAAAAAACACTACAGAAAAAATTGATGGACACGATACACACAAAAAAGGGATAAACTTAAATGCTCCGAAAAGCCAAACAGTTCGTGTTCTACAAAGGGCACCCATTGTGTTTATTGTAATAACTACAAATCGAATAAAACCATGGTAAAGAATCAATAATACATGATGATGAAACTGGTTTCATACCAAACCATTTCCATTATCAATTTTATTCATATCAAAGTATGCCTTATTTCAACTAATATGTGACTAAAATTGAATCAAAGCAAAAAAAGACAACATTACTAATGTAGATATAAAGACAACACAGTACTAAGATTAATGCTAGAACAAAACTACTATACACAGACAATTTAATTCATTTAGATTTTAGAATAGATTCTGATAAAATTTTACAAATCTATTAACACTTCAGCTATCAAAAAACCCTGGAAACCCTTATTCATGTTATTTCCAATATGAATATTGACGCATAGCATATAATACTACAGTGACGAATTTTGAAGTGGAAACCATACACTTGATCAATGGGACGACGAAAAATAATGTGCTAATTTTAGCCTCTTGTAAAAACAATAATATGGTACTTATAGACTGACAGCTTAATTACATAATTATGGAAAATGTCCAAAAATATATTTCATTTCCATAGTTATTGTAACCAATTAATATAATATGCTGTAATTAATAAAAAATAGGGTGTGCGGTTGATTTCAGTGAAACGGCAAGATCAAATGCTCATCAAAACAGACATTTAGATGTCACCATGCTCGGTCTTCAACTTTAGACAACTGGCCACACATTGAAAAGATAGATTTGTGAATGAATTCAAAACAGATGACCGATGATCTGATATCAACACTAAGTTCTTGATGAGAAAAAATGGATATAGAGACAGCACCAACCATTAGCGAGAATTCTGAACTGGGACGGGAACAAAAACATAACGTGGGTCTTTTTCGATTCAAGGGAAATGAATCATTTAGTTGAATAGTGGAAACTAAATCATAGAAAGTACAAAATATTAATTGTATTGGTGTGCATAACACTAGGCCGTATCAAAGATTGCTCCCAGTTACACAAACGATTCTCAAATTACTTTATCTGATAAAAGTGACGCCTTGCTTCTTAAACTTTGCACACTGTATTTTAAATAGATTCTAAATAGTAACATTAGACTAAAATTACTTCGAAATCCTCAGGTTATTAGGAAAAAATTATACAGATTTATAAACCTCAAATTTTAAATCTGGACTTTTTCGAAAGTCTTTCGCAACCATTGAGAAGTATATATATATGATGCTGAAATATCACGTTTAATCCTAAAAAAAACAACCTATCCTCGGGCTACGTAGCTGGTAATATTTTAGCAACAATGTTGCATTTCAACGCAATAATCAAGTTTTTTTTAAATAAAACAACTTGAAAGCGTACTTAAAATTTTAATGAACTTTTGGTTCAAGGTCATTATGTTGCATTATGATGCGATTAAAACAAAATCATTTATATAGATGAAGTGTCGAATTTTGGAGTACTTTTGAAATAAAGAAGCCCTTCGTTTTTTATTACAACCCTTATTTATCAAGTGGCAAGTGGCAAGTTGTCAACAGATGCTCCTCGAACCGCACATACGTCATTTATTTAGAAACCGAAATTGTTACAATACTTTCTCCAGAGACCCAATGCACAGAAAAAAAAAATCATTTTTGAGCATCCACTTTTAACAATTTGACAGGGGTTCCCCTGACCCTTGCTTATCCGCCGGGTGTAGGGAGACATGGCAAAAAATGTTGCTAAAAATTTGAAAAAATAAGTAACATTTCGAGGATTTTATTTTAGTAACAGTAACTTGAACTTTGTTATATTGACTGCAGGATCAATAGGCATCATCCCCTTCCCTATATCTTCCACCTGTATAAATTTCATCCCAATCAGGCAAGGGAAACCTAGTTACAATCCAGCAGAGGAACCACTTTTTCATTTTGGTACAAGTGCGCTTCAAATTGAAACTATTGACCCTTAAATCAATAGGCGTCTTCTCAGTTCCTATGTCTTCCAGCTACATGTATAGATAATTTTATTCCACTCAGACAAGGGAAACTCAAATTTCTTTCCGGAAACCATATATTTAATCTTTAATCTATTTTTAGTAACAGTGGCCTTAAATTTGAACTTATTGACCTAAAATCAATAAGCTCTTTCCTATTTTCTGTGTCTTTTATCTGTTTAAGTTTCAATGCAATCCAGACACCATTTGTTTCGAACACACAGACGGACGGACAGATTGAAAGATGGACGGAATGACAGACAGGGTGATGAGTATATACTTCCAATTTATTTTTTTCGTAGAGCATTATAACAGTTTGTATATTGTAAATACTTAATGGAGTCATCCTTATAATAGTCGATACTACGGAGTAAGTTAAAAATACATTTCGATAACTCGCAATTGATAACATTAATTAATCTCACAAATCCGAGATTTCAACTCTCCAAAGAAAAAAAAAGTAACTAAAAGTTTATAAATATTTGACTATAAAAGTAGCTGGTATAAACTGACATTGATTTTTTTAATGAAAATAAATTGAAGTAAAGAATATTTATTACTCTCTATTCTTTTAATGACTACGTTCTTCATTTGTAAAAAGTTCAAATGCTATAAAGGTCATATTAATTGAAACATCACAAAACAGATTTACGAGTCCATATGGTGATAAAATACTTTGAAAAGTCCCTTTAGAATTCATGGAGTGACATTTTGGGTCAAGAAGAACGAGTGGCCTAGGAAATCTAAAACCAGACAAGGCACACAGTTACATACCTCATCATTGAACAGTTTTTGCTGAACACAATACCAGAATTTTAGCATTGTAAAAAGTAACAATTTAAAAAAGTATGGATCTTGCATGTATGGTTCTTGGACAAAACTCTATAATCAGTTTTTTGGTCGGTTCACGATAGACAACTTCGACTTTTTAATGTTCCCCCTTCGTGTCCATAAGTTCGTATTTTGATAAGAATGCGGATTGACGCCAAGACTAATTAAGTCAATTTTTTGGATATTTGACGGAAATTTATTATCTATAAATCAAGAAAGACATATACTATCATTACAAAAAACCTTTCAACTGTGTCCAGAAAAATGAAAATTACGTTTTTAATTATCATTTTATAAGAAATTGCTTCCCCATGTTTTAAAATTTAAAAAAAAATATGAGAATGTTTTTATAAAACATTGCATGAGTAATATATTTGACTTCAACTTCCTTATGATTATTGTGATAATTGTTTAAAATAAGTAAAATGTAAGTAAACCTACCATGTTGATGCCTTTTTGAATTCTAAACCTGTGACCAGGATGCAAACTTTATACACTCTCTACACTAACTAAAATGGTACGAAAATCATCATATCAGTTTTTACTATCATTTAAGTGTATCATAACAAAATCTTATACAGCTACCTCCAACGCTGGCATGCAGAGAAACAATTAATTGTTGGTTTTAAGTTTTAAATTGAAAGGCCGTCTAGGTAAAAATACAAATGAAAAGTTTAAAAGTGATTTAACTGATAAAATTGACAGAAATATGTGTATTTATCTTACTGAATCAATGTAGCCACATAAACTTATAAATGTGCAACAAGTGAATCACTGTCGACAATTTACAATTTTTATTTTTAAATTGCATTTTTGTTTTTGCAATGTTAGAAGATAAAAACTGTTTTTTTTTTCATTTTAACATGATAGTACATTTCATTTTCTTGTTCATTTCCGTATGCAAGACGCCTATTTAACAATTTGATTTCGAATAAATGCACGAGCACGCGCGCGGCTACTTTCCATTGTACATAAACATAGTATAATGAAGTATAAGTAATACTCACTTCTTTCAAAATTTTATTTCCTTTTTCTTTGAATCTTCTTTCTATCTAGGAATATAATATCAATTAACTATAGTTGGTATGAAATATTTTCTACTCCAAAGAAAATCTGGTGACGTGTGCCTTTAATAAATATATGAATCTGTAATTTATTCATTTACTGTTTATCCCCATGATATGACACTAACATTTTTTATATTGGTCAAATTTGAACATACGTTTTTGTATCGTATGGATGTAATTGTCAAAATAATACTTAAATGTTGGTAAAAATAACTCTAAGTATTTGTGAGCTGTTTGTACCATCGAGGAAACAAATTTATTCAGAGACACTTGACCAACACATGTGTCGTGGTAATAAAATATGGATATATCTCACTTATTTCCATATATGCCAAACAATATGTATACCATTCTATAAATATGGATGAGAACTGTATGTACATTTATCGCTCCGTTTACTATAACAATCGTATCTGATTGTGTAATTATATGCAATACATTACATTACATATGAAATATTATAATTACATATTATCATGATTATTTGATTATCACTCTAACGTTGAAATTGTGAGAAAATGCTATAAAGTATTGATATGTATTTTCAGACGATATTGCTATGTCAAATGATCCTGATGTGACTGATGTCTGGCCTATCATTTTCCATATAACCTTAAAGTCATATGATACTTCAATTTAAGAAAAAGTTGAATAGTTTTATATACTTGAATGGCCAATTTTTATTATAAAACACCTGTACTTGAACTTTAATTTAAACAAAAATCTTATGAAAATCTTCAAAAATGTACTGCTATTGAATTATTGTCTTTTCGTACTCTTATTCGCAGATAGCTTATATATATATATATAATTTCCGTACGCAGTGACATTAATCCCGAGACCTCTTAATAGAACTTCTTCGGCAACCGCACAGCGCGAGTGCGAGGGAACAACCGTGATGAAAGAAAAGGTAAACAAACGTGTACTGGAAGGTGGATAGTTAAATTGATTCTGAAAAAAATAATAAACCAAATCATTTAACAACTGTTATGACGAAGTTAATCAGCAATGGAAACGCATGGAAAGTATAAAAAAGGAAAAAACATCGCTTTATCATTATAATCATCTCACTTATTTTTCACGTGCTCCATTATTCTTAGTTGATTGTTTATTAAGGACACGATCGGTAAACTTCGGCAACAAATCTCAAAAGTTAATTAGGAGTAAACGTTTTGAAACATTTCTGGTGGATTATACTTTATTGAATCGTAATAAATGTAGAATAATGTGGGACTTATAGTTTAGTATATATAGAAATAAGAAGATGTGGTATGAGTGCCAATGAGACAACTCTCCATCCAAGTCACAATGTGTAAAAAGTAAACAATTATAGGTATATGCATGCATTGGTTAAATAATTTCCTTAACATTAAAAATACAGGTAACTCGTTTCACATGACTGTAATAAATGCAAGCAAATATATTGCCTATCCCAAGTTTTTGATTACTGTTTTTTAGTAACGATGTTTAGATCTTTTTTATTTCCAATGTTCAAATAACATCGGTCGTTCATATATATCTTTATTCTCACAAACCAAATTACAAAGGTATAGAGATAATTATACATATTTCAATACAATTACATAAATAAATAATGTACGAAAGTAGATAGAGGCATTTACAATTGTTCACCCAGAAAAGTTCAATTTGTTATTGATCTCCTAAATAAGTTTATACATCTCATTCAGTTCTGAGCCTGTTTTTCGAATTCATTAAGTCATGAAACTTCAACGTGTTAGTATATATGAATAAGAAGATGTGGTATGAGTGTCAATGAGACAACTATCCATCCAAGTCACAATGTGTAAAAGTAAACAATTATAGGTCAAAGTACGGCCTTCAACACGGAGCCAGGTCTATTCCTAAAAAGAATGTAAAACATTATTTTCTACAGTTATCAAAAGCTGAACAATTAAAAATGTAATGGTATTCATCACCAATAGCATCTAAATTGCACAATACACACTTTCTGTTTTCTCTTTCTAAGTTTGGATGTGTTTAGTTTCCTCCAACTTAATGTTCTGGAGATGGACATTGCACTGGCTGACTTTTGATACCGGATAACCAATTAAAATGTCTCTCCGTCCATTATGGAATTTGTTTATCTCTTTGGAAAACAGTAAAATAAGAAGGAAATTGTCGAGATACATAAAATTTAAAGTATCCTGACGGCCATAGAACATTATACAATTAATTTTCAATAGATACTTGAAATCCGAAGAATTGGGATCACATATGTTGTTAATGTAGTTATTTACTTAGTTGTGAGTGTTGACAGGATAGTGATAAATATAGATGAACTACTTAAACCCCTATTTTGACCTACAAAATGGTTGCTATTGCAAAGGATATTTTTTTATTTTTATACAATGAAGGGTCACAGAAATTTCGTTATTTTTTCTCTCTAGTAATTAAATAGAATTTCCCCTAAATATTAAAAATATATTAATTTTATACATAAAATTACAAAAATGTTACGACTTTCTTGGGTAAGATTTAATTCTGTAAAACATTAATTATAAAGCATAAAAAATATCTACCTCAAAGTACTGGCCATATGTCCCAATCAGTTCCGCATGTATAATATAATTAAAATTTGTTTTATGATAATGCAATATTATTAAATACACAAGACAGCTTTAGGCTAGACAACTTAGTGTTTTTATTTATGTTTTATATATTCCCTTGTCAGTCAAACACCACGTCAGAGTTTATACTTCTGCAGCAAACATGTCTTGAGACTTATTAAGGTTCTATATATATGTTATTCCTGGTCTTCAAAGTCATGCAAGTCTAAATATTTGAGAAACTATATTGATAAAAGATGTATACGAACATATTACTATATAATTTCATCTTATCCGTATATATCTTGTACAGGTATCGTTTACAGTATTATATTATTTCATACTTTTACCAGTGATGGATTGAAGTAAAAATAATTTGTCATGGAAAAGTGCAACCAAAAACTAGGCCATGTGATCAGTATTATCTTAAGCTGGTATTACTAAATTATAGTGATTCAAATACACTGCTTGTTCGTCTATTTATTCGTTGATAATATTCTGAGGTATCAAAAGAGCTGCTTTTGCATAAAAACTAATTTTAGACCTGAAACCTGAATCAGCCAGAATTTATAAAAGGAGGGGGGCATCAAAATGCACCCCACGACGATAACTTTAATTGAAGAACGACAAACCCAAGCAAAAACGAGGAATAGAAAAACAACAGTCTACACAATGTTTCTCGAAAACTGAAGATTGAATAAAACAATCCAAGCCGAAAAATCCTCAGGTGCTCCCTGAGGTTCAGTAGTTCTTGTCCCTCAAGTGACAACTGTTACTCATATAACATTCAGTTTGTGAGGCGTATCGGATGGTTAGGCATTAGAGAAAGGCGGTTTATAAATTTCTCTTTCATACGATACCTATTAATCATTGGTATATGAATGGACCGTAATACATGATCTTATATGAAAGTTTGAAATGAAAACCCATTTTTTTGGGGCATCAAATATTAAGTAATAAAGACAATTGCGGTGACCGAAAGACAAAATACTAACATTGAAAAATTAAATTTCACAAGTACAGCCAGAAAAAGCAGAAGCAACACAAACAACTTAAAAAAGAAAATTTAACTTAGAGAAACTGGGAAGGAATACAATTTCTGCTCCAATATACTAGTAGTCTACTAGCTATATATAGTCCTCTCCATGTTTCTCGTGGCAAAGTAAAATTCTGATTATAAGTGGCAAGCGGTTATGTCAAAAAAACTAGGAAAAGTTTACCGGATTGTGGTTACGACTGGTGGAACATGCCCGTAGTCATTTATGAGACATAATTGTCTATAGTAGCCAACCAAATCATGCATGGTGATCACAAAACATAAAGAAAAGATGAACGCAACTTTATTATTAATAATCCTTGTTTTAATAGCAAATTTGTAAACATCAACCCTCTATCAAGGAAATCATGACATAACTGAGAAGCATGATGTTCTTTTTCGAAAGAGCATGGTGTTTATAATCACCATACAACTCAAGGAACATAAATGTCCTATTATATCGTTCTTATAAGGAATTCAGCTGTGACTAAGATGCAACATTCACAATATCTAAAAATGTATTAAATCACAGTTGTTGTATCATTTATCACATCTAAATCTTATGCAGCTATTGTCGACCCAGGCATGCTTACACAGAATTCATTGTTACGTTTAATTGACGTCTAGGTAAAACCGTAAATAAAAATGTGTAAGTTTTTAACTGCTTACGGCTTTGTGATAAGAATATTTATGCAATTGACTGTAAACATGCACTTATATGATGAATCTAGTGATGCATTGTTGATTATAATTCTTTCTTCATATTTATGATATGAATAAATTGATATATGAATAGAATAGAGAATGGAAACGGGGAATGTGTCAAAGAGACAACAACCCTACCAAAGAGCAGAAAACAGCCCAAGGCCACCATTGGGTCTTCAACGTAATGAGAAAATCCCGCACCCGGAGGCGGGCTTCAGCTGGCCTTTAAACAACAATGGATACTAGTTCAGCGAAATGGGCGCCATACAAAACTCCGAAACATATTATGCGTCAATGAGTCGGCGACCAAACATTACCACAAAAATCAAAAAAGTTTTTTCAAAGATCAAAAACATCTTCGTGGAATGTGAAGCTCTAAATCACATAACCTTTGACCCTGGCTCACTGCTCGACAAAAGGGTGCCGGAATCAGCCGAGACTGATGAGACGATTGAAATCATCTTGTGTATCTGTTAAGTAATAAAGATTTCCCGTGACACTGAAAATCGGGATTTTATAAAGAAACAAACGAAAAAACAAAAATGAAAAAGAAAACATGGGGATATATTTGAATATAAAAATTGACTACGTTCTGGACTGGAGACAGGCATATTGATATGGATTTCTACCCGTGGTGGATCCGGGGTATGTAGAGGGCGTACGCCCCCCTCCCCTCTTGATCGCAAAAAAAAAAATTAAAAAAATATCATGTTTTTTACGATATATATAGTTTTTTAGTATAAAACAGTCCAAAAACAATTTCGCCTCGATTAGCTCGGCGCTATATCATCAATAATTGGGAATTTTCTCCTCCTTTCAAAAATCCGAGATCTGCCTCTGACTACCAAGCAAAT